AAGCCAGTTGGCCTGAGGTCGGGGTATGAAGTAGCAAGTGGGGACTTGGGTAGACTTCGATTACTAAAGGGCGAACCAGATCTCATTGCAAGCCCAAGCGAAATCGAGATGGTAGATGAGACCTCCCGGCTGGAATCTTCGAGGGAGCATCATCACTATACTTATTGACTTGGAGAGCATCCGCCCGTGGCTGAGGATTAGTGTTCCGCTTAGACCAGATGAGACAAATGAGCAACCTACCGGGCCACTGAAGCTGGGCTCAAACCCGATAAGTTCCACCCCTCGTGCAAATATGGCATGCGCAGCTTTGATGTGCTCTCTTAGCGACTGATCTCGAAAGCGCAAGTCATGGACAATGGATTCGTCTTGTGCAAGTAGTCGTCAGGCTCAGTAATAGAGTAGATGTTTCATCAGTGTACGTTAAGCCTGTGCTACCTGCTAGAACACCGAGCTGCACGATATTAAACAGTTCTCCTCGACTATGCAGGGTCTATAGTCGAGAAGGGCTCTTAATGGAGCAGACGCACTCAGGCCACCCTAGAGCTAAACGTTGTATCCGATATATCCTATGTCCGATAATTCTTATCTCCGGCTCCATGTAGTATGTGGGATTGTTGGTGGCTAGAACACATGAAAATCCCAGCAATCTACATGGGGCTCCTATTTTGCAGATTTCAACAGGGATGCAGCCCCAGTGGGTCGATCGTAATCACCCACCTCTCCATGCGATATCGCAAATTTGTCTATTTGCTAGAGCGACCAAGGACCAGTCTCGCCAATGTTTTAACGATTTTTAAAAAGGCTACATGGGGTACCAGACCGATAGTTCTAATTACTGCATGGCCCAGCTTACTACTCTATTGATTTGCCCTTCCACAGCCGCCCCGTTGTCAAGAAGAGCTCCAGTGACGTACAAGATATTCCAGTCCGACCATGTTCGACCAAATGCTACAGAGCTGATTGATGTCAAAAGGGTGGAGTTGACAGCGACACGAGTTGTTTTCGACAAGATGTCGACCTCTATGAGAGCGTTCCCGCCGTTTTCGGCGATCCAGGCCGTGGTGCCGTCTCTGGATAGGGTAAAGTCGTCTGCATTCTGAAGCGTTCCATTGCTGATGACTTCCACATCCCCCGTAGCAGTGCCGTCAGATACAGAAATTGGGACGCGTGCAAACAGCTTCTGGTCCAGGTTGGTGTAATACAGACTGCTTCCGAATGCGTGGATCCCGTTGATACCAACACCAAGTTCTCCGACTATTGTTGACATGGTGGGGTGCTGTTATACAACTGCGACCTTTCCGGTACGAACGTTGACTCTAATAAGTTTGCCGTGGTTCGAGTCTGCGGCAAGGACGTGAGTGTTGTCGTTTCCAGCAAGGCGGGTCATGCCGTTGAGGAGCCCGGCGTTTGGGACCTTGGCCGATATCGTTAGGGTGGCCGGGTGCCTGACTTTTCCGTGGCCAGTGAGATGAAAGGACCTCATGTCAAGCTTCCAGATTTCGTTCCCAGAGCCGCCCAATCCAGAAATGTCGGCTGCGGCAATGTAGAAAACGTCTTGTTCCAGCTCAACGATACCGAGTGTGGCGTTGCGGGTGGGGATTCGGGCGACGGCGACAGGTGGGTACGCGTTTTTGGTAGAGACTTGGAAGATGGTTGAAGACGCCACCGATGTTACAAGAACGTCGCCATTTCGTCGAACTGCGATATTCTCAAGACTGACGGTCTCCTCGATGGTGTCGACAATGGAGACAGCCACGTCATTCGTGTGCTGTGGTGCAGCCCAAGAAACAGCGCACCATGAAAGCACGGTGAGAAGGCGAAGGCTGAGCATCACTGCGGCGGTAACACTGGCAGACACACTGAGAAATGTTCTCGTAGGAGGTCCAGCGCAGGTTCATAAAGGTTTCCACGGGTTTATTTAATGGGTCTAGCGGTTGGACGGGCAGGCACGTCATAACACTTCTGAGGGGTGCATTAACAGTCAGTGATATTGCGTCCACGTAATCTTCTCTTGGCGAGCTTTAACTCCGTGATTATGGGCTCGCCGCTGATACAAACGGTGTACTGGGGTGCGGCAAGGCTTGGTACTCTCCCTAAGCCAAATCAAGCTAACACCACGACAGCGCAAGAAACCTAAACAGCACTGCCCCTCGAACCACACATCGCCAAGCCAGACAACGTGACGCCACGTACATGATCGAATAGATACTCGTCGATCCAACAATTTGCAACCGGTCCCTTAGCTGAAATTGAACTAGAACCGAAGGGATTTGCAATGAGAGAGACGATAATCTCACTGTCAACAAAATCACTCAAAAAGTAATCTGAAGAACACGATGGTCACCAACATCATCAAACTCGCAATGTGCCGCATTGAATGAAGACACAACCGGCGAGCTGTACAAAACGTGTTCCGCTTGGCCTTGGCAGCCGGGGTAACCCACTCATAAGCTTGCTGCCCTCGCCCCTGCAAGCTCGGGCATCGGAATCGTGTTGGAAAGAACGCCAAGAGTCTTCGCGACCATGCCTAGTACCCCGAGTCGTGTGATGAACGCGGCAATGCAAGTAGCCTATCCTGCAAAGACTAGGTCTTTTAAAAGTCAATGACAGCTTAGGCTGAACGATTTTCCGCCCTACTGACCATGCTTGAATCTGTGTTCAAACTTCCAACAGGTCTAATACGAAGCACGGATGCTTCGAAGAACATCATCCAGTTGCATTGGCGCCATTCTAAAGCGGTTAGGGTGTCAGCCGGTTGCATTAGCGTGTGTCTCCTTAATAGAAGCGCCGAGAGCCGCAAACTTTAAGATCGAACAGCCAGGGAACTGAGACCAGCATTGCAATGGAAGGCCCAATTTTTTTTACAGAGCCTCGATTATCATAGGTAGGGGTGTCTTTTGTGGCAACTGGAGACATTGGCAAAATATCCCGGCGATAAAACCGTGCCTTCCTTGACAAAGCCATCTCATACTGCTCTTACATCCGCAAAGTCCATCTCGAAGACACCACTGCCGAGAAACATAAATTATATATACTCTCGTTGCTAACGCATTCGAGATGCTGCTATCTCAGCTACAAATTATCGTGTGCTCAATTACTTGAATCCATGCACCATGGCCGATCGCTACGTTGCCGTTCACAAGCGCCCTGATGGACCGGGCGATGCTCGTCCTACCGCCACGCAAATCATCGTTGACGAACACCTAGAAGGCAAACTTGCTGGCCACAATGCCTTCATCACTGGCTGTTCCGCTGGAATTGGCACCGAGACTGCAAAGGCTCTTTACCTTGCTGGCGCCAACCTCTATCTCACTGCTCGCAATCTCGACAAGGCTAAAAGCGCACTCGGCGAAATGGCTGATAGCGACCGTGTCACGCTTCTGCATCTCGATCTTGAGTCTTTAGAGAGTGCAAGGGCCTGCGCAGAAGAGTTCTTGTCCAAGTGCAAGTCTCTCAACATACTCGTCTTGAACGCTGGCGTCATGACCCCTCCAGAGGGACGAACCAAGGATGGATTTGAGACACAGTTCGGCACCAATCACCTCGCACACTTTCTCCTGTTCAACCTTCTCCAACCTGCACTACTAGCCGGCGTCACTCCCCAGAGGGCCTCCCGTGTTGTTGTCCTGAGCTCGGTTGCGCATCGTTTCGGAGAAGTCATCTTCGACGACGTCAACTTTGAAGGACACTACGACCCCATGGCGACGTACGCCCAGAGCAAGACGGCCAACCTCTGGACGGCCAATGAGATCGAAAGACGATACGGTGCTCAAGGTATCCACGCTTGGAGTCTCCAGCCCGGCGCTGTTCAGACGGAACTGATGCGGCACATGTCAGAGGAGCAGACGCAGGGCATCACAAAAGACGAGTATGTTTCCAAGATCCTAAAGAACGCCAAGCAAGGGGCGGCCACAAGTGTTTGGGCAGCTACGGCCACTGCGTTAGAGGGTGACGGCGGCAAATACCTGGAGAACTGCCAGATCATCGGAGCATGGGAACCTTCGCTCGGCATCTGGGGTCCGGGATATGGAGCTCACGCTTACGATTTGGAGAAGGCGAAAAAGCTGTGGGAGGAGTCTGTGAAATGGGTTGGCCTGTAATATTGAACTCTGCTAGTATAACGCTATACGCTGTGTTCATGTCTCCCCTACCTACCCTTGATGTAGTATGCTACGTCACTCTCTGATTCATTACTCCATGATGAAGCGTATACCTGCGAGAGTACACTATTCGCTATCGCCGAAATTTCAAAGCTACTGGGTCCTAGTTTGTGAAGACCGGATGATTCTTGGTGTTCTTTCCCAGCCTGCGCCGGGTTGGTCGACACCTAGAAAGAGTTAAAGAATCTTGGTTCTTGAAGTAATAGGAACTTTAGGGAATACAGTCAGTAGAGCGATAATTGTGTGGATTGATTGTGTGAATAGTGCACGGCGTGATGCAACACGCGCACACTGTATCTTTTCCAGTAGTTCTGAAGGAAGATCCCAACGGTCAGATCAAAATCTGGTAATGTTTAGTGTAAATATGCTACGCTGGTATTGTATCTACTAGATGAGAGCATTGTCCCTAACATTTCATGTCTTCTCATGAAGCCTGTTCACATGGTCTCGAGATTTGTCAGTCTTTCCTTGTTCATCGCTTGAAAAGATTTCACCTGACGGCATGAAGTCATTATTGATTCACCCGCCGGATCCCTGATTCTTAGCGTTGTGGCGCAAACATGTGCGCGAGATAATAGACTCTGCCACACTTTCCCTCTACGATGCGCCAAACATTTTCATAGTGGCTTGGAATTTAGTGAAATGCCAAAATAAAATACTAAACCCGCTTAGATTGCCTAAAACGGCGAATGACTGGGTCTTGAATAGCACGCCCTACTTCCAGTTGTTTATCCACACCGTGTATCTTCCTGCTCTTTCTGCGAGATTGCCATTTCAAAATCGTTTTGCAAGCATGAGTGAATGATTGTAGGCAATAACACCTTTGTTTTTCCATAAAACGTCAGAGTGGCCGAGTGGTTAAGGCGTCAGACTTGAAGCGCTCAACAAAGCCGGATCATCCCGATCTGGCGACACGTGAGCCTAGATATCTGATTCCCTAGGGATCGCAGGTTCGAATCCTGTCTCTGACGAATAACACCTGGAACGGCATTCCTGTTAGTCTTCTTTTTTTGGACTTGGTCGTTAAGAAATCTGTCATGAGTAGGCGAGAGAGTGTGCTGTATGTATGTCCGTAGGAATAGTAAAAGCAGCCTTGAACACCCCTACTTTCTGCGCCAAATGGATGAATTATGAGGGACTTACAGAGAGTGGATGCCTATAAGTCTCCTGCCAATGCACACTCCACTGGCACTAACTTGAGTGTAGCGGACGGAGTCTAAATGATCACAGATCAGCATAACAGATAGATTCAACTCCAGGTTCAATTAGCATTTGTAGTCTCTACTATTAAGGGTTTCTGTTAGAATCTGATACACTCTTATCATTTTTTTAAATTTATCTGTCGTTTTAAGTCTCGCACTCCGAGTTAGTCGTGGGCTGTAGCCGCGTATTGAATCGTCATGACACAGGCTAGGACCAGACCCCTTGCCTCACTCACGGGTGCATCCGATCTCCATGTCAGCGTTTTCATTCACTTGAAGACTTTGCACTGAATAGTTTCTTGGGCATGATTGGCTTTAAAAGCAAGTTTAGCGACTGCAGTCTTTGCTGTACTATTGCTCTTATCGCCGGTACTCGCACGGAAGCTTTAACAGATATCACCGTCACTTGTGCCCTTATCCAACCACAAATAAGACTTTGCAGCATGGAAAGCCTCTATCTATTTCGGGAAAGTTCATGCTGGAGCTGCTACTTAGTATATCTAGTGGACTGCCGCGAATAATAGGCCGTCATCGCCACTGGTGTGGAAACGAACCTCGACCTGGCGGCTGCCGCGTACTTGGTCAACCTCAAAGTTCATGTCACCTTCAACTGCCTAGGCTTCTGGGTCTATGGATCATTGTCTCCCTGAACGAAGCCTTGGTAACGCGGTTTTATTAGCACGATTCGGCTACGCAGCCCAAGTTTGTGCCAAAGTATGTCGGTCCACCCACTTGGGTGATCTGGAGAATACCTAGAACTACATACGCCACTCCTTCCCCGGCGATACCACCAGCGGCAACAGCATAGAACAACTTTGAATGGGACTGCTGCCCATATCGCTCCCACAGCGCAGCCACCACGCCACCAATGGCCAGGGTCATGGGGATAGATACACCAGGGATTGTCATAGAGAGGCCGACAACTGACATGTTAGGGGTCAAGGGCTCCCAACGACTCCATTTGGGGTGAGCGGCCATCCACCTCTTCAGAATGACTGACCCCATGCCAATGGTGGAGAAGACAATGCAAGTGATCCAGCTAGACTGAGATATGGGCATGGTTGGAGAGAAAATGCCGATGGTGATGATCTTCCAGGCAGTAACGGCCGGCAGGGCGAAGGCGCACGTGGTTGCCGTCGAGTCCGTGATACAAGGCCATGCTTTGATGAAGAGCATGTAAAGGCCCGGAAGGAAGAAGACGGCGCTGATAGTGCCGATGGTTTGCGCGTACCACTGAGGGCGCATTGGGGTCCGGAGCAGAAAGCCAGTTCTAAAGTCCTGGACAAGCTCGGCAGCCTGTTGCGCTGCGCCAGAAGTGACGGTGGCACCCAAGAGATTAGAGACGGCTGCATTTGAGTAGCCGATGGTATCTATATGTCTCCGTAGGATGCCACCTGTGATGAACTGCGATCCTTTGGCAACAGTGGCGATAGGCGTGATTCCGGTAACTCCAAACACTTGGATGACGACGAAAGACCACAGGAGACCCAGGACAAGGTGCCAGAGGCCCATGCCGCCGGTGATCTCGAACAAGAATCGCATCAGAACCATTGCCAAGGCAAAGGCAACAGCCGCTACAAAGGACCACTCCCACCAACGCACTTGGTACTCTGCCGCTATGGGATCCGGGATATCACCCTCGAGGACGGCTCGTTGGCCAGCCGGGGCTTGATCGCCATTAGTACCACGTGTGACAACGTCTCTCAGCCTCAGAGCTCCGTAACGAAGTACTCGTCCGAGAGATCTCGCTTCAAATAAAATGGTTGTAATGGATACGGACAGCATGAGAAAGACGGCGGGCCACAAGATCCAGTACCGGGGCGAAGGGTCCTCGACAAACTTGGTTGGGTCGAAGGCGTTGTACGTGACCAGCCCGGGATATATCTCGCTGATGGGAATGCCAGAAGCCAGGCCCGCTTTGATGAGGATCGGGCCTATAACGCCCCAAGCCAGCGTAGAGCCAAACAGGAACGACAGCGAAGGGTTCAGACCGACGATCATGCCAGTGCCGATCAGCGACGGTGACCATTGCCACGAGAGCCAGCCCCAGCTCACTGCGCCGATGATGCCGTGGCCACCCCATTTGTAGATCCACCAGAAGACATTCCAGTTGTAGAAGATGCCGGGGGCGTACGAAGTGACGACGGCCCAGACCAGCGATGCTACAAATACAATGGCCATTGTCGTGATGTTCTTCCTGGCCGCGTCCGCGCCCGTCTTGTTGTGCAGGGTCCTGATTGTGACGGCCGATGCGGTTCCTAGCGGGAACTGCAGGCCTAGCTGCCGCGCGAGCTTGAGGATGAAGATGCTGCGCAGAGGCACGGCGAAACCGAGGCCCCAGAAGCGGCACATGGCTGACATGCTGACCAGCGTGCCGTAGCTGACCTTGGTGCTGTCTCCAAGCAGTCCCATCTGCATCAGCGCGGGCACGCCGCTGACGAAGATGAAGGCCACCCCCATGCAGCCCAGTGCCGTGGCTTGGACGATGTTGTTCTCGTGTGGCCCGAAATAGTCAGACATGAATGGTAACTAACAAAAAGATTATCAGTATGTACAATCTTCCAAGGAGGGACCCATCTCACCTTGGAACGCTCGAGAGCTTTTAGGATGCCGTAGCCAAAGATGGAAGAAAATAAAGTCGCATCCGCGCCGAATCCTGTCTTGAGACCTGCAGGACAGTTAACGTGCACTCTGAGAAAACCGCCCCAGCAGACATAGAGTCGATCATGGCTTTACCAAGATATAGATTAGCACAGGAGATGATGGAACCGAGGAACACGCCCGTGAGGACGGCGCGGACGGTCAGGATTTGACGCCCATCGTATGGCTCGACATCGAGCAGCGGTTGGAAGGCGTCCTCGACCTCGACCTCGCCGACGTGAATGGACTTGTCGCCCGAGGTGGTCACTTGTGCCTGGTCGCCGTGTTTCTGGTTGATGTCATGAACAATCTGGGTTTTCTCCGGCGCCAGCGTGACGGGGTCGGGCGTGTGAGAAGGCATGTTTGGCGGTGGCAGGATAGTCTTGCTGAAAAGAGACTTACCTGTGATTGATGGAGTGGAAAGCGTGTCGAGGTCTGTCGTTCGCCTTCCTCAGCCAGTTTTACACCGATTTATAGATGTCGACAAATACGCGTAGCCTGAGGGGAGTTATCATGACCCTTATCTTGGGGCATGAAAGCTGGATTAGCGAATGCGGGGGAGGGGCGAAGGCCATTCTAAATCGGGGCAACAAATCCCACATATGGGGGCCTTCACGTGGCTCTAGGGCCTTGGGTCTGGCTTGGCTCTCTTCTCCTTGTCTAAAACCCAGGATTTACTGGCAACGTTGATTTACCTCGATACTCGGAGGAAGGGATTGACCATTCACAATTGGGTGCTCAAGCTAGACGGTGTAGGCTGATGCGGGTCTCCAACATTAGGCCCTTTCTACATGATGGCGGAATGAAGATGGATGCTCTTGATAGCTGCCAGTCGAGTTTCAAAAAACACAGTAGGTAGCTGTCTTGTTTACTGATGGTAGTTATCATGCTTGGAGACGGCGCAGATGCGATCTTGGCATAAGGCACCAGGGGAGTCTTGGTTGCCACGAAGTTGTAAAGCTGTGTGTTGTGCTCCTTCGGATCCATTTCAATGGACAATTCTTCACGGCCGCAAACCCTACTCTACCTCAACATGATAACCACCATAGCCCTTTAGATCTTTGAAACTCCACTCATAGCTTCGAGTATCTGGTAGATCCGATATCTCTTACCATACCCTTCGGAATATGGCGGAAAACGCATCTCGGGCCATCGGCACATTATCTGAGCCGCAATCGGGACCCGATTTCCGTATTAGGAAAATTTAGGCATCCACTTAGATATGAAGTAGTTAATCCACAGCATGCTCCCAATATCTTGCATTCAACCAAACACGCCCAGGCAAGTGACCGTTTATCATGCTTCTTCCTTTCGCGGTATCTGTTCTGGGAACTCTCGCACTCTCAGGGGTTCTCGTTTCAGCGCGCGCCACGCCTGTCCAGCAAGTCTTGCGCCAGGATGATGCGCCAACGACACCACGCTTGATTCGACAAAACCACACCATCTGCGATGCAGGCTCTTCCCAATGGAGCGGGACTATCCCGATCGATGAGGATAGAGACATGTTCTTCTGTAAGGTCTACCTCGAAGCCGTGTCAAAACCTGACTCACAGGCATGCAGGGTATTTTGAAAGTCGGCATTCTCCCAAGGATGACCCGTTGATTATTTGGCTGAATGGGTGTGTTTTGTTCACTCTTTTCTGCTTGAGTCTCTTTGATGTTGATTGAATGAACCTCCTTTAGCGGTCCTGGGGCTTCCTCTCTCCTCGGGGCCTTCCATGAAATTGGACCATGCACCGTTGCGGAGGATGGCAAGACGACGATCAAAAATGACCTAAGTTGGACCGAATTCTCAAATATGCTGTTTATTGAGTACACCAGGCCCCACAAAGCCAATTTTAAGAGTCAGGCAAGTCCGCTAATATATGCCATGTCATAGTCAACCCATCGGGGTCGGTTTCTCAGACCCTCAGGACACCCGGCTCTGGACCAAGAACCTGCGGGACGGCGCAGTAGACCTGGACAAATTTCTCGACGTTTTTCTGCGCGATTATTTCCCTGAGCTCAGCGGCAGGTCTATCCACCTGGCTTGCGAGTCTTTCGGCGGCAAGTACTGTCCCGTCTACGCGGACATGATGCGTCGGCAGTTCAGCTCGCTGGTGCTCGTCAACGCCATGATCAACTATCCT